CTCTTCTCCTACCCTTAAATTAATGTAAGAAAATTTTGCATTAAGTCATATTGTTTTCATTTTCTTTTTGGTTTCTTAATGGTTATTCCCAGGAAGAAAATGTTGAGGATCACTGATCTAGACAGTTCTTAATTTGAATGAACTGCTTAAGCCTGATTTAGAAATAGTTACTTCTACTTACCAGAAACAAACAAACAAAAACTTAAAAAGTGTGAGTTATAATAACTTTATGCCAAGACAGTCAAATTAAAGCTCAATGAAAAGTAATTAACCTTATATTGTAAAAATTTCATCAGAGAGCAAAGTAAAGTTATATTAATAATAACACTAGTCAAAATTTACTAAAAACTAAAGTACTGTTCTTAGTGTTTCATGAGAGGCTTTTTGCTATAGGGCGCATGCACTTGCCCGAAAGACAGAGAGAGAGAGAGAGAGAAAAATCACACCCCTCCCCCCAGGGGGGATGGCAACACCACAATCCCTTCTTCTCTAGGGATCTTGGGCACGCATGCACACACGCCCAGCCTGAGTTTAAGCCACCAGGTCCGGAACTCAAACCGTGGTTAACCACATGGGAGTCCAGTGACACAGCCATTACACCCATTGCTGGTCCCATGTGTTTCATAAGACTTTCTAAAATCAAATCCCTATCAATAAAATGTTAAGATACAGCATGTTGGGACCAGCAGATAGAGTAATGGTTATGTCACTGGACTCCCACATAACTGACCGCAGTTCAAGTCCTGGTCCTGGGCCCCTTAAACTCACACCAAGCACATATACATGGGTGGCAAAAATTCCAAGAGGAAAATGGAGGAGAAGGGACTGTGGCGTAGCCATACTCCTAGGAGATTTCTCGTGTCTCCAGCAAGCACACATGCCCTATACAAAACTCTTTCTAAATATATATATATATATAAAATATGAAAAAATCAAGAACCAGCAGTTAGCGTAATGGCTATGTCGCTGGCCTCCCATGTGGTCAACCGCGGTTCGCGTCCCGGACCCAGTGGCTTAAACTCACGCCGGGCGTGAGAACCAGCAGTTAGCGTAATGGCTATGTTGCTGGACTCCCATGTAGTCAACTGCAGTTCGTGTCCCGGACCTGGTGGCTTAAAACCCACACCGGGCGCGTGTGCATGCATGCCCAAGATCCCGAGAGGTGAATGGAGGAGAAGGGATTGCGGCGTGACCATCCCCTCTGGGGGGTGATTTCTCGCTTTCTGTCTCTCTGTTTTTCTCTGTCTGTTGACTACGTGGGAGTCCAGCAACATAGTCATTATGCCAACTGCTGGTCCCACCAAAAGTTCTTTTTTTCCTGAACATTTGCCCTCACATCCTCCACTGCTCTTGGGGAACCAACGATTTCTGAGTCTGTGTTGTTAGTATTAGAATTTGACATGAAGGAGGGCGTTCGGTCCTTGCTCAGTGTGTCAGTTGTCCCTTTCCTGTTCTTAGACTCATTGCACAACCTTCTCTCTTTCTGCTCACTAAGCAAGTTTGCTTGTATAGCAAAAGCCCATAACTATTATATATATTATATATATATATATATTATATATTATATATGGCATGTAATCACTAGTACCTCTGTTCATAATATCTTGAATTTGGCTACATTGGGGGGGTGGATTTTGCCATAGGGTGCATGCACTGGCCAGAGAGAGAAAAAGAGAGGGAAAATGAGAAATCACCCCTTTGGGGAACAGTCATGACACAATTCCTTCACCATTCTCCTCTCGGGATTTTAGGCATGCACACAAATGGGCCTAGCTATAGGGTATGGGACAACCCACATGATTGCCATGTGGAATAGAGTACCTTAACCACAATGCCACCTGCTGGCCCTGGATATTTTTTATGACCATGTTTGATGTAATACTGTCCTGGATTGAAAAATGATTTCCAGCATTACTTCAAGTTTTAGAATACCACAATAAAGAAATTCATCAGGTTACTAAAGTCACATACATAAAGTAGCCACAGAGTCTACCTCTGCTTTTAGGAATTCCCAACCATACCAGTATTTCCCACACTATGATTACTTATGCATTGCCACCATAATTATTGCTTTTACTTAACACCTTTAAAGTGATTCCCTTTTTTTATTACATTTTTATTATACATTCAATCACCTTATTTAGTTTACAAAGTGAATATTTTAATATGTGAACATTTCTCCCTAGTCCAGTTGATTAAACTATAAAATATCTACAACAGATAATACCACATTTCTTTGTCCCATTAATGCTTTGTCTCCATATTTATCTTCTAAATGTGATTCCCTTTCTTAAACTTACTTCTAAAGGAAACACAGTATCACCACATAAATCAGAATTCTTTACCAAAAATAAAAGGTAGCTGGAATAAGTTCAATAGAACAAAGAAATCTTATTAAATTCTAGTTACATATTGTTGTCTTTGATATTTCTGATCATGAAGTCTACACTGTTTCTGTTAAAGGGTAACTCAGCTAGCATTAGTGATAAATGTTAAATTATAATCAACCAACTTTCTCCTTTCCTTTTTTTTTTTTTCCTGTAGGGTGCATGTGCTCACCAGAGAGACAGAGAGACACATATAGAAAGTGAGAAATCACCCCCACTGGGGGATGGCCACACCACAATCTTTTCTCTTCCATTCTCCTCTCGGGACCTTGGGTACATACACTCGGCCTGAGTTTTAAGCCACCAGGTCCGAGACTCAAACCGCAGTTGACTATGTGGGAGTCCAGTGACATAACCATTACGCAATCTGCTGTTCCCAACTTTCTCCTTTCTTACAAAGCATGACGAACAAAAGAAAATCAAAAAGAACAACTTTCCAACTATATTTTTTCAATATTTAATATTATAACAGATACCATCTAAAATAACCTTCTATGACCTATAAAAATGGAGTTTATCAATGTCATACAAATCCCAAAATAATTTTGAAAATGGCCCCAAAATGATCTGGGAATTTCCTGAAGGATCTTCTTCTATTTGGGTTTCAGAATTTTAAAAGGCATGTTATTTCTTTAAAGGCATGCTCCAATATAACTCCTAATTAATGGCAAGTAAAATTAAGTTGGCAGAAAATAAGTTATTATACTGAAAACTTGTTTTCAGAAGGCAAACATGAAGTAGATAAAAACAGTACTGACCTAGAAAGCGTATTCAAATTCAACCACATCCTATCTGATTGATCTTGAATAGGTCACTAAAACATTCAGATATGTTTTAAATCTGCAAAAATAGGAGAAAATAACAACATTCCATACGGTGGGTACATGGGCAAAAAGGTAAGATACTAGCAAACACTCAATAAACGTTGGCTGAATTTCAAATTATATATGACTTAGTTTCTTAGAACCCAGGAAAATCCCAGGTGTTGTAACTTAATAAAAAGATTGGCATTTTTGCACCTTATTATCCTTAGGTATGAGTACTTCAATTACAACCTTGACAATTAAAACTAATCAGTAGGTCATGCTTATAAAGCTCTGAAACATGCCAGAAAAATAGCAAAACCTAGGTGAGTGGTGATCAGTTTATCTAAAATACATTAACAAAGTCCTTAATCTGAAAAAAAAAATTAACATGGAAAATATTATTGGTATATAAAATAATTTTCCACATGGACAATATCTGAATTGTTCATTCTGTGGTAACTTAAAATAAATTTAGTGATCCTTTACACATGGCCCAAGTATTTACTAAATAAATAAATAAATAAATAAAATATCTAAAGATATAGTGCCATCTACAGGCAAAGAAAATAATATCAATGACAGCACATTTTTAAAAAAAATTTATATTTTCTAGTTGCTGCTGAACTTATTTTAAAACTAGGATCTAATAATTTATATAATTTACCTTCTGATTACATTTACAGAGTACCACATCATATGAGCTAAAGTTAAGACACTTTTTTCTTAAATGCTTTTACCACATTATAGAGGATCTTTTTTTGTTTTTGTCTTGAGGTATCTTTGCTATAGGGTACATGTGCTCACTGGAGAGACTGAGGTAAACAGAGACAGTGAGAAATCACCTCCCAGGGTTGATGGCCATGCCACAATCCCTTCTTCTCCATTCTCTTCTTGGGATATTGGGCATACACACACACATGCCTGGTGTGTTTCAGGCCACCGGGTCTGGGACTTAAACCAGTCAACACACAGGAGTCTAGCACCTTAACCATGATGCCACCAAAAGAGTTTTTATTCTCAATAAACTTATAACTGAGGGTAATTAAAAAAAATCAATGTATTTCAATATTCTTGCAATATACAATGCAAAATGTGCATAACCTTTTTCCCCTTTTGAATTTTCTTTCCTTATGGTAAGTAACATCCCTCAAAATGACCTGATGGACTTAAAAATACATGGAAGTGCCCCATTACATATGTGATTTATGACTGTGGAGTAGTTAATACAACAAACAAGAGATTTTCAATAATGGTTTCTTCCTCTGGCAACATTAACAGGTGAAGATAATCCTGTTGTCACTTAAGTTGATATTACCTTGATCGGATAAGTGACACTCAAAAGAATTGATAACTTGCCCAAAGTTACTAGTAACTGTCAAGAGTTGGGAGTCTGAGCACAGATTTGCCTGACTCTAAAATATGATTTAGATAATAAACACACACACACACACACACACACACACACACACACACACAAAAAAAAAAAAAAAAAAAAAAAAAAAAAACAAGGGGGTCAATGTGTGTCATTATAAAAGTGCTAGTTCAAAAAAATAAAAAGGTTATTTCAATCTTCATCAAAGACAATTTATCTGTTATGGGTAATAACTAACCAGATATAGCTATCATAAGTAAAGGAATGGTATTTTCTTTGTATACTGTTCTGCTTAGCAATTTCAAAAATAGGAAAGGATGACAAATATTAGCAAAATACTTCATGTATTGTTCTCTCCCACCGTATGTTTTTATTGCAGCCTAGTTGCATCTATATTTTGAGCAAGGACCTATAGGAAATGAACAATGCATCGTAATAGTTTCTTAAATTGTTATCTTGAAGTATTGTATGTTTCTTATGGTTTAAAAAGATTTTAACTTTTATGACATAAAGGTCACTGAATCATAAAAGATCATAGGCTTTGGAGTCAGCAGATCTTAAATTCATACCCTGATACTTTCTACCTATTTGTCCTGTGAAATGTTACAGCATCAAATTCCAATTTCTCAGGATGCTCCAAAAATTAAAGGGGGAACAATTTTGAAACTCCTGGCACATAACATAGTAGGTGCTCGAGAACTTTCAGCTCTCTTTCCTTCAAAGAGTGACATACACGATTAGTGGGTCATCAGATAAGTCATGAGTTCTCTATGCAAAATGTGTCATGACTTTTCTGATGACCCAATACATCAAGAGTATCATTAAACATCATGCTTCATTATTTCTCTCAGACAAACTGTAGCATAACATGAAGCATCAAGATCAAAAGAAATCAAAAGAGATAAAGCTGTTTCAGTGATGTTGGAACTTTCTGTTTTCACATCCATGTCATGATCTTCCATTAGTTGGTATGAGAGATTATGAGGATGTTTCAATATCTGTCTATAGCATCCTGGTATATTCAGTTTCAGAGCAGGTACTTTAAACCTACATGTCTGTAGTCCGTCTCTGTTAAGTATTTCATGATACCACTGTCCTACTTTGTTCTTTGGGTACTGAATATTGTATCCAAGTACTGGAAGAACCACCTATGAAAGGGAAGAAAGAAATATACATGAGACAGCCTTCAGAAAGACATACAATCAAATTTTAAATTTATTTTTCATGCTTGGGACCTGGATTTGTAAAATCAGTCTCAGTATATAAATATTACAATCAGTTTAAAATATAACCATGCTATGATATTTTTAATGTTGTCATGTAAACAAAATAGCTAACTAAAATCAAGGATACACAATAACAATGTAACCAATTCAAATCAGATAGCATTAGGCAACTCACAATCAAGAAGTTTAGATATATTTAAATGGCCAATATGTGCTTAATCTCTATTAAATTACGCAATTCTAAAAGCATTTTCTTTCTGTAAGATGAAGAGTAACGTCTATTGCTCAACCATAGAATTGGTATTTTGGCTGACAACTTAAAATTCTTAATTATCTAAAAATATGAAAACAAACAAGAAATACAATATACAATGTGGAGTTCCTCAGCTGCTTGACAGTAAATACAGCATTTTGTGGAGTTTTCCTCCTTTGCTGATAACTTCTAGACAGATTTTTTGGTTTTGTTTCTAAATTTTACCACAGGACATGTGAGCTTACCAAAGAGAGAAGAGAGAGGGAAAGCAAAAAACCACCCCCTTGGGGCATGATCATGCTACAATTTCTTCTCCATTCTCCTTTTGGGATTTGGGCATGCAGGCACACATGCCTGGCGTACTTTTCAAGCCACCAAATCCAGGACTCGAACTGCACAGCTGGCCATTTGGCATCTAGCTGCCTTAATCACCTGCCAAAGACTGGCCCTAGGTAGCTTTCTTGAAGAGTACAAAAAGGCCATTGGAATAAAGAACAAGGTAAAAAACTTAAATACACGCAACATGAATGAATCCTAAATTCATTCTGCTAAATGAAAGATGCCAGACACGAAAGGTCATATACCATACAGCTCTATTTGCATATCGCACTTACAGTGGCAAAACCTGATGACAGAAAATAGCACGGTGGTTGTCAGTTGCTGGAGACAGGAATAGGAGTTAACCACAAAGAGGCACAAAAAATTGGGGGGAAGATAAAAGTATTCTTTAATACTAATTTTTGTGGTAGTCATTGACTATTTATACATTTATCAAAATGTGTAAATTGGGCCAGCCGGTGGCAGGGGGTTAAGGTGGCTGAATGTATGGTACGAGTCCTGAATCTGACTGAAATACATACCAGCCATGAGTGTGTGCATGCCCAAAATCCCAAGAGGAGAAGGGCGGAGAAGGGATTGTGGTAGGATGATTTCAACTGGGGGGATGCTTTCTCATTCTCCCTCTCTCTGTCTCTGGTGAGTACATGCATCCTATGGCAAACTGTTTAAAATGCATAAAAATTTGTAAAATAAGATGAAATTTAAATGTATATAAATTATACCTTAATTAAAAAGTTGTTAAAATGTGGGAGGCAGGATTAGTCAACATTTTGTCTTTTCAGGACAATGTCTGCACGTAGATCTAAGTAATAATGGCTTTTAAGCAAATTTACCTGATGAATTGCATATGCATTAGATTCTTCTTCTTCTTCAGTTACCAGATGAACCTATTTTAAAAACATGATGAAAATATGGATGATTCTTAAACATTCTAAATTTCCCCAATTTTTCCTAACTTTGTTATGTACAATTTGATTCCTCTGCTGAATATACATATACTCGAAACAGGATTTTTTCATAGTTTGTTTCTGCAGAGGTCGACTACATAAAATTTAGAATGCTTCTGCTTATTTTAACCACTAATAACTAAAGTTTCAGAACAGTGAGTGCTTAACACTCCAAGGCAATTCCTTTTCACTTCAGTCACCAACAATCTTTGTCTAAGTTATAAAGTTTTTCTTTATTGTGCTGAATCAAAAATCTGCTTCTATAAAACCAAATCCCTCCACTCCCACCACCAACAGGTGCCTGACCTCCCCCCTCTCCAGTTAAACTCTATATAGAAGTGGTATTTTGTAACACTGTTTCATATAAGAGGTATCATATATGTAACACTGTTTCATATAATAGGAGGGGGGAAAAAAGAGGCACATGATAAAATAGGTTTGAAAAATACTGCCCTTGGATATCAGAGAATAAATCATTCTGGTTTCTCTTGTCTGAAAGGTCAAATATAAAGGCAGTCATCATCTTTCTTTCCACAAGGATTAACCACATTCTGATTTTCCTAAAGCTCTCTTATATGATATAGCAATAGATCCTCTAAATCTGCTGGCTTTTCCCTCCATTCTCCCTACTCTTACTAATACTGTTTCTGTTGTTGTTTTCAGTTTGAGTTTGTTTGTTATTGGCAAATAACACCTTTTATTTACTATACCCAGAAATGGATATAAAGCTTCAGATGTGACCTGACAAGAATACACGGGACAAACAAACGACATGGGACTATGATCTCTCTTGCAACATCACTTCTAGCTTTTTGTCTTTTAAAGATGTCTAAGCATATATATAATAAGATGATTAAGTAATTTATGAAAATACTGAAAAGAATGTGGTCAAGTATAGAATATCATGCTTTGTCTATACAAAACTCCTTCCAAGTAGATGTCAAACAATTAACAAACATGTTTTGTTTGTTGTATGACTGCTCCTAGTTGTAAATTCACCTAACTTTAAAAAAAAAGATTGTTATTTAGTTAAAGTGTATTTCTTTATTTCATAAGTGAGAGAGAAACACACAGAGAGAGACAGAAGTACAGCACCTCCCACAGTATACTGGTGCCACATCTCAATCCAGTCCCAGATTGCAGGCACACTTGTACATGGCACATTCAGGGTGGTCTCTGAAAATTAACCTGCAGCCCTCCTGTGTGGGGCTGCCTCGCAGAGCATTCTATTTCACCACTGTGCAAATGTCTGGCCCTTGTCTAATTTTTTTTTTATTATTTAACTTACATTTCTCCATACTGTCCACAAAAAAAAAAAAATTATGAGAATCTACAAAGTGACTTGAAATATATTATTTAACTTAAATTTCTCCATATTTTCCACCAAAAAAAAAATAATTATGAGAATCTACAAAGTGACTTGAAATAAAGATCTGTTACCCTAGTAACACTATCAAAACAAGGCATGAGATTAGTTTATCATAATTTTTCATTGTAGATATACAATATTACATGCTCCATATACTATACATTAGAAACTTATTTTGTCTTTTTTCTTTCAATAGTTTATGCTTTGCATCTCTAAGTCCTGTCTGTTCTCAGTGATACCTAATAAAATATAAATGACTGGTCTTAAAAAAAAATAGACTTTTTTTTTGCTGCTAGTAAAAGGAAAAAAATGAAGAAAATGTTCTTTCTTCTCCTACAGCTCCAAAAGGAAAACCAGATACAATTCTGGTCATAAAACTATCCTTGCTGGTGTTATTTTGAGCTAAGAAGTCTTATAAAGCATATGCATTTCAATGTTTGTTCCTATATCATGTAAAAGTAATCTTTAACATCTAAAAATCAGAATTAGAAATGGCTCTTACTAAATACTGTGTTTTCCATGTAATATACAAATAGATATGTCTTCTGGAAGGTGTTTTTAAAAATTCTATTTTTCATTATTTATCAGAAAAGGTATCACTGATATATCTCTTCTCTACATGAAGTAAAGGAAACTTGCTAGATTGCATGCTACTAAATTTCTTTTACACAGAGCCTGAGAGTCTGAGTCTCAATTAAATGACCATTTTTAGTAAGGTATGCTACCTCCCAGTGATGACTTTATCTACATTTTCAAAACACCATCCATGTAATAGAGCAGTAAAGCAGACATCTCTTATTCTGGCTTATGTAACCCTTATTGTTTTCTGTTGGCAGCACCTTCATTTTCCAGAGAGCCCTCCCCTCCCAGTTCTCAGATGTGGGTTAGGTGGGGTGTTTCCAGAAAGGAGCTCTGGGAATATAGGCTTAGCATATAGGCTTACTACCTTGGATAACCTGTATATCCTAACTGTTCAGGCATGTGACCAAGACCAGGCCATTCTGAGCTACTGAGACAAAATTCCACAGCTGTTCTTGACAATGTTGAGAAAGAAAAGCCCTCTTTTCTGTAGAGAAACATGTCTAAAGTTATAAAAGTAAGCCCAGAATTACTAATGACAATCTTGCCATCAAAGATATATGCCAGACTGGAAATAGATCTAACATAGAGAATAGCAGAGCTGAAAGATGAAAATAAATGAGTGAGATTATTTAGGACACTTAAGCTCCTGGATTTAGCTGTGCCTGAATCGATCATAAACTTCCAGTGTTAAGGGCCAATAAGTACTACTGGCTTTTCCTTAAACTTGAGGCAGGTTTCTATTACTTGAAACTAAAGGAAAAAAAAAAAAAAAAACTTAATTCATACATCTAGAACTCTACCTTAATTTAGATAAACGTATAGAATTCAGAGTCTATTTTCTCTCTGTTTTTGAAACCCTGGCCATGTTCCAACTCTAGACACTAAAACCTTTCTATACTCCATGGTTTTTCTAGTAGAGACAAATTTGGGCTAAGAAGCAGGCCAAGTGGGACATTTCATTTCATTTCTGTATGACTCCAAATCTGTCTCTCTAATATGGGTCTCAATTTTCATTTCTGTATTATCTTTTCTACAGAAAAGAGAGTCTCTAAAACCCTTTCTCCTCTAAAATTAGATGACTTTATGATGCTACATATGAAAGCATTATTCAAATTCTTTCACTAATTTTTAAAACTTATGAGACTAACTTATTAGAGTATTAGAGAACAATTCTTTGTTCTTTTTGCATTAAAATATTATAAAATGAATTTCTGGTAGCTGGTTTTACTGGTTCAAATCCGCAAAAATTAAAATACTAGTTGGAGAGGAAGAAAATGGAAAAAAATTGACTTTTATAATTTATAATTTCATTAATATAAACTAAGACATTGATAGAAAAAAATAAACATGTAAAAGATTATACTATGCCATTTTATAAAAATCTTATTTTTCTTTCTCAAATTTTAAGTTTTAGCTCTCTTAAGTCCTGTCGTTTCTTTTCTTGGCAATAACTAACAATAAAAATCAATTTTTGTGGAATTTATAGAAAGCATAGAAAAAAGTCTAGAAGGACATATACTAAACAATGGAGGTTGCAGGGGAGGGAATTGCATTAGGTTGGTAATGAGATCACATTCTCATCTGAAATATTTTTATTTTTATTTTTAAGGGGATTGTTTTGTGCACTCTGTAATTTTTTTTGAGAGGTTTTGTTTTGTTTTGTTTTGCTAGTGCATGCACCCGCCAGAAAGACAGAAACAGAGACAGAAAGCGGGAAATCATCCCCCAGGGTGATGGCCATGCCACAATATCTTCTCCTCCATTCTCCTCTCAGGATCTTGGGCATACATGCACATGCAGCCAGCGTGAGTTAAGCCACTGGGTCTGGGACTCGAACTGTGGTCGACTACGTGGGAGTCCAGCAACATAGCCATTACGCTAACTGTTGGTCCCACTTTGTGTAATTTTTAAAAGTTCATTTATTTCTTCCACGATTGAGAAAGACAGAGAGAGACAGAGACAGAGAAAAAGGCACCCCCGTCAGGGTCTTGAAATCCATAGTCGACCCCCAGCCTCAGGCAGCCCCAGATCCAGATCATGAACACATAAGTGGTCTAGCATACTCAGGTAGATCTCTGGACACATACTCTGAATCTTCTCATGTGGCTCAGACTCAGAGAATGTGACATTATCACCGGCTACCACCTGGAAACTGTTTAATTTTTTTTTTAATGTGTTCTTTAAAGGAAGACTTACTGCCTTTGTAATTTTTACCCCATATTTTAATTTTTCCAGTAAGTATTAAACCTCAACTCAGAACATAGTAGAAGTAGAAAAAGAATAAACATAAGTTTTCTAAAAAAAGGGAAATACATGTTTAGTTTCAAAGTGTTTCTAAAATCAGGGTTTCTCAGTGTGGTAACCACTCTTGGAAAACTCTGATGAAATATACTTACTTTACTATTTGGAAAATGCTCATCATTAATATCTTTATCCAAACAGATCAAATCACCCTCCACAACTCTTGATCCATAGGTTGCAAGTCTGTATGATACCGCCTCATTCCAAATCTTGCTGCTATAGGCATGAATGTAGAATATGCGCATGGAATGGGGAAAAGAAAACCATGCCTGGATACAACCTTCCTCTGTCATGCCAAAGCGATGCAGTGACTCCAACAACGCTCTGTCACGCACTTTGAACTCGGGCATCAATGAAAGTGTGCCTTTAGCATCCTCTGAAATAATGAGAAAATCAGCCAGCCAGTTTACTTACAAGTCATTTATAAAGACATATGTTGTTATACTCTAAATGAAAGGCAATGCTCATGCTTATCTCAAAAACATGAAGATGAAGATGCTTAGCACTATCAGTTAAACTTGGCTAGAGTTAATGAAGCTTTTCTTTTTTTAATAAAGATAATTCATTGTTGATCTTCCTTCTACTATCCCTGCTTAAAAGTAAAATAAAAAAGCAAAAAAAGTCAGTAATGGCTTGCCAGAGTGCCTTAGTTAAATATAGTGAAAAATGAATTTGCAGTTATTTAGAGGACTTTAAACAAAAACAAAAACAAAAACAAACAAACAAACAAAAACAAGTTAGATTAGATTAAATAAACCACTGAGCTTGTATGGGCTATAGTTTTTAAAAAGTTATTATAAACAAAAGTGCAGAATTTCTAAGAAAAGGGAGATATCTGGATCCTTTAAATATACTATTAGGTCTAATGGGATGCTTTGATTTTTAATTTTTAAATTATTTATTTATTGGAGTCAGCAAGTGGCATAATGGTTGAAGTGCTGGACTTCCTCACATAGCTGACTGCAGTTTGAGTCCCAGACCTGGTGGCTTGCTGTCTCACTTTCTCTCTCTGTCTCTCTTTGGTAAGCACATGTGAAAAAACGATGATAATAATAAATAAAAAAATAAGTCTTTGAAAATTTTTATTTAATTTCATTTATTATTATTTTTTAAATTTGCCATAGGGCACATGTGCTCACCAGAGAATGAGAGAGAGAGAAAGAGGAAAAGTGAGAAAGCAAGCCACCAGGTCCAGGACTTGAACCATAGATAGGTATGTGGGATTTCAGTGCCTTAACCTCTGTGCCACCTGCTGACTCCTATGGGATGCTTTTTAAAATGTAGATTAGTTACTAGACTCCAGTACAAAGACCCTGATTCAAATGGAACCTTGGAATCGGCATTTTAATAAATGTGCCAAGGGTACACTTAAGTTTACCAATAGGTAACCATAAAGAAATTACATCCTCAGGACTCTACAATAGACACAAACCAATTAAGTCACTTTGAATTTTCTTTAGTATTATTTAGCTTTCTTAGAAGAGCTATAAATGCCCATACTGTTTATAAATGCTGTGTGACACAAAAATACTACTCTCCTATGAATAATTACATTCATGTAATAGGGACACAGTTAAAAATAATAATAGAGACATTTGAAAACCAAAGTCCTTTATTTGTTATAAGAGAAATTCGGTATGCACATGTATGTAGATAGATATTTCAATAAGCCTGAACTGGTACGGTTGCTATTATAATCAATATTAGTAACATTTATCTAGTATGTAAGAAGTGCCACACGCTATTATTAAGAGCATTATGGCTATTATCTTATTTAAATCTTACAACAGCCTTTTAGGTACCATTATTAGTTTCAAGTGAACCTAAACTAAAACAAGGAGTTAAATCACTTGCACAAGATGATACACTAGGGAAGCACGACTTTGAGCGTTAGGCCCACTTAGGCCCACATAGTCTCACTCTAGTCATGTTAGTTGGCCACTTTTCTTTGGTGCTTCCCACTAAGCCTTCTACATACAGAGCACCAAAGTGATCCAGTTTTCAGAACTGATAGGGCTAAAGAGTCACTAGATTAAAAACAATGCAAAAAATCTAAAATATAATAAATGAACTTTTATTTAGTTTGAGTCTCTTTCAGCTGTAATAAATTATATTGTTATCAGTACCAATTTAAAATTTGGGACCTCTTTTCTCCTCAGAATCCTGGCCAAACTAAGAAGGCATTTCTCTCCTCTCCCTACACCGCAGCATGATCTAGAACAGATAAAAGTCTCAGATATTAGATCAAAAATGAAGTTCTTAGGGCATGTAATAAAATGACTATATATCTAATATGTTACAATTTATTTCTTATCACATTTGTATCGCACTGAATACCCTCCTGCTGATACAACATTTATTTCCTGTACCTGAATGGTCTTTTATGGGGTAAAGAAACTTAAATACCAGTTTGAAGAAAATACTTCTTTGCTCTATTTACAGGATCATCCAAATCTTCTGGTGTAAGAAATAATTTTATGGCCTTCACCTGGAAAAATCAAGCAAGACAACATATGTTAAATGAAAATTACAAATTATTTTCTTTATTTAAAAAAAAGATTAAAATCTGTAACATTATAAAAAAAATAGGTATTTAATAATAGTTGATGCTGCAGTTTTACCTTTAGCCTTTTAAAAATGAAAGAGTCAATGTTAAATTTAAAAATAAGCCCTCTGTATAAAGTAACTTTATACACACATTTGAAGTATTAGGGACTGAACAAAGTAACCCCTGCCTCTCACCCATAATCATTTCCACAGTGCTGTTTCTATCAATTTTTTATCTCTAGTATTAAGTTATGAACACAAATGTATAGTTTTGACACAAATACTTAGACTTGACTGACACACACACCACAAATAAGGAAGACAGCAACCATAGCAGAATAGCAAGCAATTGAAGTCATCCCTGTTCTCAGTTCCCTGAATGGTATTCAAAATAATGGTCCAATCTTAAAGAAAAAAAGTATGACCTTAATATCTCATTTAAGATCATAAACAGATTAAAAGACAGTTCTTTAAAAAAATTGTTTATGTTTTGCCATAGGGCATGTGTGTTTGCTGAAGAGAAACAGAGACAAGTAAGAGGGAAAGTAGGAAATCACCCACTGGGGGAATGGTCACACCACAATCCCTTTTCTTCCCTTCCCCTCCTGGGATTTTGGGCACACACACACACTAGCCGGGCATGATTTTCAAGCCACTAGGTCCAGGGCTTGAAATGTGGTCGTCCATGTGGAAGTCCAGCACTGTAACAACTACACCACCTGCTGGCCCCCTTTTTTTTTTTTTTTTTTTTTTTAATGGGTTTCGATTCCCGGTGCCCCCTTTTTTTTTTTTTTTTTTTTTTTTACTGGTGTCGACTAGTTTCAGTATCTTATCACTGTCTCTAGCACTGGGATTTATTTCTAAGAATCATACAGTCATGCACCACGTAACATTTCTGTCAACGACGGGCCACATTTATGACAGTGGTCTTGCAAGACTGTTTGTTATTAAGAAGCTGAAAAATTCCTGTTACGTGATGAAATTGTTGCCATCATCAATATACCATTCATCTGTTTGTAGTGACACTGGGGTCAATATACCTATTTCATTACCAGTCAAATAAAAGTGTAACACACAATATGTCCTTGATAATGATAATCAATGACTACATTACTGTTTTAAGTATTTACTATGCTAGACTTTTTATTATTAGAGTGTATGCCTACTTATTTAAAAAGTTATTGTAAAACAGTATGCTGCGTTACACCTGCAGCAGCCCCAAACATCTCATTTTCACTGTGCTTCTTGAGTGCATCATCTTCTCTTGTCCTTGATTTAATCTCTTGTTTAAGTCATCATGGCCCTTCCAGTGGGACAGGCGACTGTGTTTGTTTATAGTTAGTTTTTAACTAAAGAGCTTTAAAAGGAAATTAAATATTCATAAAATATTTTAAAAGTAGAAAGAAGCTTATAGAATATCAATGTAAAACAGAAAAAATTTTGCACAGCTGTAAAATGCATTTGAGCTTTAAGCTTAGGATTCCTACCAAAGAGTTAAAAAGAAATTAAGTTTATAAAGTAAAACAGTTATAGTAAGCTAAGGTGACTATTATTAAAAAATGAATTTTATAACCAATTTAGTAAAGCATTTATAAAGTCTATAGTAATGTATAGTACTACAAAATAATATCCTAAGACTGCACATTTACTAACCACTGCCACCTCCAGTCCTGTAAGTCCATTCCTAGTAAGTATCCTATATAAGTGTATCATTTTTTATTGTTTATATTCACTGTACCTCTTCCACCTTTAGTTATGTTCAGATACACAAATACCATTACATTACAACTGCCTACAGCACTGAGTACAGTAACACATTGTACAGGTTTGCAGCCTGGAAACAATAGGCCAGGTTTGAGTGAGTACTCTGTGAAGTTCGCACATTGACAAAATTGCACATTGACATAAGTCTGAGACTGTATCCCCGTTGTTAAGCAACACATAACTATGTCTTGGAGTGGGGAAGAATCTTAAAATAGACCATCCAACCTAATCTCTTACTCTATCTTTTTACAATATTCATTCATTTAAACAAATATTCACTAGAAAGCTAGTTCATTCAAACAAATACTAAAACCACTTGCCATGTGCAACATGTTACTATGTATTAGAAACAGAGTGCTGAGCAAAACACTTGTTCCTGTCATATTAAAGCTTACTGTCTACTGGAAAAGATAAGCATGAGAATAAAATATAACAAAACTTCATATGGGAAGCCCAGTATGCTATGGGATCACAAAGGGAATTAATTTTTTCTGGTAAGTGGATAAGAATATTTAAATTGAAACCTAAAGAATGTAAAGATTGGGGAGGGGATGCTTCAGGCCAAGAAAAAAAGATATGGCTCTCTAGCTGCCCAAAACAGCCTTTGGAGGCCCCCAGTGATCTCCATCATCTGGTACACCTGGTACTGTCTTTTTCTGAACTTAGTAGGGTTGGCTTGTGTGACCAGTATTATGCACCAAAAATGAAGGTATGTTGCTTCCAAGATGAGGTTATAGAAGACACTGTGGTATTTATTGTCTCTCTTTGCATTCTTGCACTCACCTCTCTAGGGCAGGCCATGCCATAATTGAGCCATAGCAAGAGATGATAGCCTCCTGCCAATAATCACTAGGGTGAGCTTGGAAGCAGATCTTCTATCCTCAGCCCAGTCTTCAAAGTCAGCAGCCACAACCAATAGTGTGACCCAGCCTCATGGGAGATGTGATCCACCCACTAAGCAGCTGCCAGATTCCCAACTCTCAAAAATTACGAGAAGTAATAAATTCTTGTTGCAGTAAGCTGCTAAATTTTGGGGTAATATGTTACACATTAATAACTGATAACTAATACTCTAGCAAAATTAATGAAAAGTTCAAGAGTATGTAATGTGAAATTTGAAAGAGGTGGGAGGGTGGCTATCCAGTTTTTGCTCAGATGCTGTAAGAAACAGGAAATTGCTGTTCTTTGGGGACAAAAACCCCACTCCTCTGAGCAATTATTAAAAATGTCTTTCTTGGGACCAGTAATAACATAATGTTTCCATCACTGGACTCCCACGTAGTTGACTGCAGTTCAAGTCCTGGATCCAGCAGCTTAAACTCACACTGGCGTGTGTGTGTGTGTGTGTGTGTGTGTGTGTGTGTGATGTCCCCAGAAATTTATGTGTTCGGACTTGATTGTGTTGACTGCATTGTAAAGGTGTTAAGTTAAAAACTTAACATTGTGTCCCAGGGTGGAGACTCATTGTATTCCATGGAGGACTCGACCTAATGACATTGGGTCCTCCATGATTGAGTTCTGGTGGGGCTTCTTAGTAAAGAAAAAGCCACATGGATATAGACCTTACTATAGTAAAAGGTGTGCATTCAGCCATTTTGTGATGTCTTTAGACTTCCTAGTCATCAGAACTAACAAACTACCATTTTCTTAAATTTACAGTCATAGGTATTTTTTCTGTTAACAATGAATGCAAAAATGGACTAAGACACATGGTTTCTAGACACTTTATCATATCAGTTATATCCCAGTTGTTAAAATATCTCTGGAAATGTGAAGTCTAGAACTGACTACAGAGTTGCAGCTGTGTTCTAAACCATCGGCTCTCAACCACACTTCCCTATGAAAGATATACCAATGCACAATACTTCTCACAAGTTCCTTTATTGTTTTTCTTCCAATCAAAAAACAATTAAAACACAAATAAATGAGTATGAAACTATCATATAAATAATCTTGCATTTGTTGAAACATAAAATTTAGAGTTTTGTAGTGTTCTTCATATGTACACTCCATTCCAGTGTAAATATATGTGAATGTATAATATGTAATATATAAAATGTAAGTACACATAATTATACACAAGAGGACTTAAAAATTCATGGAAATGGAATTAAATGACAAGTTGCAAAAAAATTCTGACACTCACTCATCGTTTTTACATAATATGCATTTTCCACAAACTTTCTGAAGACCCTACATACATAAAAATACATATTAAAAGTATACATACATGTGTACACACATACACTTTTAGTATTTGGGCAAATGCAGGTTTTTTTTGTGATGTGTGTTTTTAGATTCACGTGAGACTTGCTAACGCTAACCCTAACATGAGTAAGTCTCACATGAAATTGAACTCTCAAGTAAGTACATGTGAAACTCTCAAGTGAGTATTAAACACAAGGACATTGCATACGGTCTGCTTCCTTCTAATGTGACACCAAGAATACAGCTTAATATATGATGATGTAATACATATGGTATATGTATGTGTGATACACATATACTTTTAATATCTGGGCAAATGCAGCTGTGTATTTATGACACACATTTTCAGTTTTACATAAACTAGTCGCATTGTGTTTCCAAATTTGCTGTTCTCTTTTTAACCTCTAGATATAAGTGAATCCCTATCTTTCATATGATGTAATACCTAATTTCTAGAATCATAGGGTATAAGTTTCCTCCAAATCATCTTTTCAGTTCACAAAGAATTTGGAAAGTATGGTCTATTCTCTGTCAAGTCTCAAATGAGTATTAACCACAAAAACACTGTGTATAGTTTGCTTCCTTGCCATGTGCAATCAAGAAGATAGGAGTCATTTCGTACTCAATGATGTAACATATTAATATATGGTACATGTATGTGCGGTATATATGTGTTCATATGCTAAGATTAAAAGGCAAGAGGCCAGCTAATATATTAATAACAAGCACAGCTGAGAAAACAGATAAAATTCATACCATTTCATTCTTCAGCAATGCCAGTCCAATTTGGTCTGTGTGAACTTTCCTTCCCATCCCAAATCTCTGTGGTCCATAATAATTCACAAAGCCTTTATTCTATGAATATAAAATCATTGACAAATTAAAAGCATACAAATACAATTATTGTGTTGAAATATGTAATCAATTCTTTCTCTTTGTATTTAGTTTAATACGAAAATCCTATAATGAACAAAAGATGCAAATGGACCAAGTGGTCTGAAAAAGACTATACAGTTAAATAAAAAGAAGACATAATTTAGAGGACATAAGACTAGTAAAGAAAGCTTCTAAAATATGTCAAGCTTTTGAACATTTCCTTAAAAGTAGGACTTTAAGTGCCAAAACCAGAAAAGTTCTGGACAAATTTGGATGAAATGGTCACTTGGCATCTGAATCTGACGCCTAGGCAAAAGTTGTTTCAAATTTCGAGACTTTTCTGCTCTCTGGAGATGTTGGGAACAAAAACCAGGTAAATTTTCAAACCTGGTAGGTCCTAACTCCTTTATAAGTAATAGTTCTTTCTTTAGTACATTTCATTTCTTAAACCTGAATTGAGACTATGTCTTCTCACAGCAGTACTCTACTGGTGAAGTTGTCACAGTCCCTATATTTCCAGGGGAGAGACACAGACACCATTTTTTGATAGAGATAGATCTTAAAGCCAATTAGTTTTTTAAACTGCCACACTGCTCAGAAGAAATAGAAAATTTTAACTTACTGCAGTGCCATTAAAATGGGTCAGTGGCTAAGCAGGTTCTCACAAAGAAAACACAAGTCCCAAATGGGTTTTTACTTTTCTTTTCTTTAAAGTTTATTTACTTCTTCCATGAGAGTGAGAGAGACAGAGATAAAAAGAGAGAAAGACAGGCACTCCCAACAGAGTCCTCATGCCACGATCCAACCACAGCCTTAGCCAGCCTCAATCACAGCATAGGCATGCATGCCTGGTATGCTCAGGCAAGTCCCATGCGGGTCCAGCTGTGTTACCACTGCACCACTGTGTGGCCCCAGGTATCTTGAAAGATGAAGAAGTCCCACACTCACTTTATGAGGGAAGTACACATTTATTCAGTCAACAGTTACTAATGTGAACCAACTGTCAAGGAGTACTCAATAAAGATGCTAAGCTTTACTCCAACTTGGAATAAGGGTAACTTTAAAGTTTATTTACTTCTTCCATGAGAGTGAGAGAGACAGAGATAAAAAGAGAGAAAGACAGGCACTCCCAACAGAGTCCTCATGCCACGATCCAACCACAGCCTTAGCCAGCCTCAATCACAGCATAGGCATGCATGCCTGGTATGCTCAGGCAAGTCCCATGCGGGTCCAGCTGTGTTACCACTGCACCACTGTGTGGCCCCAGGTATCTTGAAAGATGAAGAAGTCCCACACTCACTTTATGAGGGAAGTACACATTTATTCAGTCAACAGTTACTAATGTGAACCAACTGTCAAGGAGTACTCAATAAAGATGCTATGAAAGTTTGTTATCAGCATAATACAAAAGGAACTGCATTCTTACGTGTCATTCAAAAAATCAGCTGCAGATGTAATTATTGCTCCCACATCAAATTTCATAATTAAGTATTTTTAATTATTTTAATTTTGGAAAATAGCAGATAACATCCTAAAATAACCAGAGTTTTAACTACCTCTTCAATTTATTTAGCTATTAAAAAAAAAAGGTTTATAACAATCAGAGATACAACCCTGTTAAATAAAACTCCAAAGACTTATTTTCAGGGTTTCTCGATTATTTTTTCTTTACCATGAAAATCAAAGGTAAATATCAAATGAAATAGAGGAAATGAGTGGTATCAGAGTTCAGAGAAACCCCTTCTTTTTAAAGAAATACCATTTTAGTAACAGTTTCTCAGAAAAATAAAAAACTAGAATGTTAGGTAGGTCAAGATAAAAAGGTAAAAACCATATAAAGAATATACAATTATAGAAACCTTACATACAGATCAAAGTCCTAGATATAAAATATCTTTAATTGAAAGGTATTTTCTGAATGAAAGGTAGATTAAATATCAGTTTTTGTTTGTTTTCCTGATGGAGAGGTAGAAAACTGTGTTTAAAAGGTTTCTGTGGTCCTAATTTATTATAGATCAACGGTGGTTGTGAAGCAAAATCACTTAAGGAGTTTTTTTTTTTTTTTTTTTAAATACTAACGCTGAGCCAGCAGGTGATATAGTGGTTAAGGCGTTGGACTCCACATGGCTGAACGTGGTTTCAGTCTTGGGCATGGAGGCTTGAAAATCATGCCAGGCGTGTGTGCCTGCATGCCCCAAATCCCAGGAGAATGGAGAAGGGATTACGGTATGGCCATCCCCCACCCCGGGGTTGGGGGGGAGAGTGACATCTCACTGTTTCTGTCTCTATCAAGCAAGTGTCCATTCCCTATGGTTAAAACCTTAAAAAAATAAATAAAGGAAGGAAAGAAAGGAGAAAGGAAAAAAATAATAAAATACTAATACTTAAGCCACACCCCCAAATGTTCTTTATCAATTGGTTTGAGAGTAGAGGTTGGATGGTGAAAATTGCTAAATGCTCCCAAGTTGAGATTACTGGTCTAAATGAACTGGGAAACTATAATAGAACACAAGTCAAATGTGATCCGATCCCTGTTTTCCAAATAAAGTTGTACTGGAACACAGTCATGCTCATTCATTTATGGCTATTTCCACAATGATAGCTGATTGGTTGCAACAGGGACCACATGCTGACAAAGATAAAAATACTTGCTATTGCAGGACTAGCAGGTGGCATGGTGCTTAAGGCACTAGACATTCCCACATGGTTGACCATGGTTCGAGTCCCAAACCTGGTGGATGGCTTTCTCACTTTCCCTCTCTTTCTTTCTCTTTCTCTCTGGTCAAATTAAAATAAATGAATGACTAAATAAAATTAAATAAATAATTATCAAAAAAAAAAAATACTTGCTATCTGGCCCTTCACAGAAAAAGGTTTTTGACCCTTGTCTAAATGATCAGACCAAAGGCTACGGTTGTTATGTGTTATTTAAATGTCACAGATATCACTGAAACACTTATGTTATTTTTTACTATAAGAAATAAAGAAGTGTATGGTTTAGGAAATGTAACAAAATGTGTATGATTTACAAAAATGTCTAAAAAAAAATTACTGAACAACATTTCCAAAAAATAAATTCTCGTTCCTGAAATACTACTCTACATGGCAAACACTAAAAAATGTCTTTCTTCTTATGCAGAAAAATCAATACCCCGCCTCTGGGAATCCATAAACTGTAATTTTAAAATTATACTTATGTTTTATTTTGCTTTAATAAAGAAATGTATCTAGAAGAAAATAAAAAATAAACCAAATGTCTCTAATTATCATTTTAAGAATAATTAAATATTCAAATCAAAAGCTACGTAACGATGGAACCAGCAGTTAGCGTAATGGCTATGTTGCTGGACTCCCACATAGTCAACCGCGGTTCGCGTCCCGGACCTGGTGGCTTAAAACTCACGCCAGGCGCATGTGCATGCGTGCCCAAGATCCAGAGAGGAGAATGGAGGAGAAGGGATTGCGGCTTGACCATCCCCCCTGGGGGTGATTCCTCACTTTCTGTCTCTATGTCTCTCTCTGTCTGTCTGGCGAGTGCACGCGCCCTATAGCGAAAACCTTTCCAAAAAAAAAAAAGCTACATAACAAAAGTTTCCCTTCTTGCCTTGATGTAGAGAGAGGACCTATGAAGTTTTTTCCTGTAATATTGTAAAACTAAGTTTTCTAAGCCATCTGTGATGGTACTTCATTAATGCAACACTCCCAATGCCAAGGCCACATGGGAAGGTCCTGAGTTCTGGTCCCTAGGTTTACTTGCATAAGCCAGGTGTAAGCACACACCCATGATCCTGGCTGGCTGAGTCTTGAAGTGGATCACAGCGCAAAGACAAAGATCTTGTTGTGAGTACTTGTATGTGTGTCTTTCTTTCATAGAAGAAATTAATAAATTAACTTTAAAATTGAGTTTTCTTACCTTAACATTTTCTATTGCCTCCGAAATTCTCTCTCTCAGGTTTGCAGAATCATTTGTTTGATTTTTTAAATTTCTGATAATAATTTCAAAGTGATTTCCTTTTAGCTGACCAAGTCTAAGGGAATCATCTACAGATCGAATATTAAACACAACCATTCTTTTCTTTTCAATTTCTTTTTCAATATTTTTTAACCTGTAAGTGATAAATCACATAGACTCAGTAAAATCTTACTTTTAAGATACAGTTTTAAATGACAGTTGCCTGCCAATCCCTTATATCAGAACACCAATAAAAAAATCTTCAGAATTTTCCAAAGTTTAGATTGTTTCCAAAAAATGTGTACTGGGGCCAGCAGTTAGCATAATGGCTATATTGCTGAACAACCGCGGTTCGAGTCCTGGACCCGATGACTTAAAATCACACTGGGCACGTGTGCGTGTGTACTCAAGATCCCAAGAGAAGAATAGAGGAGAAGGGATTGCAGCATGGCCATCCCTCCTGGGGGGTGATTTCTCACGTTCTGTTTGTCTCTCTAGGTCTTTCTGGTGAGACACGTGCCCTATAGCAAAAACATCTCAAAAAAAAAAGTGTACTAAGTTCCTCTTACTATAGAGTTATAGTAATAGAGCTTTTAAAGAACTTGCACATAGTACAAATGCTACCATTCTGTGAAATCCTTTTGATTTATTCAAGTGATAGAACCTAACGCTTCTGATCTTCCTGTCCCAATTCAACTCCTTTCCTGCTCACTCTCTTCCTTCGTCATTACCAAGACAAAGCACTAACACCAGAGGATTTTCCCTAAATTTTGCTCTGAACACTTCCTTACTCAAACTTACAATTCTTTCCCAATGTCTGAAACATATTTTCTTAGCACAACTTTAAGATCCTGTAAGAGCTGATACAAATTTCGCTTTACACCCATATTTTCTTTAGTCTATACAAGACTATCTTTTATTACACAGACTGTTCAGTTTACTGTCCCTCCAAATATACTGCCAGACTTTTTATATCAACTGAAATCCTAGTACTTGAAGAATAATTAAAACCTTGTACATTACACCAAATCAACGCAATCTCTCTTCTTAGAAACTAGTAACATTTACTGTCCATAGTAGTTAAAAACTAGTTTTTGTCTTGAACATCTCTTCTATTGGTCTGTTATTGTGTCACTAACAGAAATACCTGAGACTCAGTGATTTATGAAGAAAATGGTTTTATTCCTAAAACTCACAGTTCTGGTGCCTGAAGAGTCACCAGAAGGCATCACAAGATGGTGAGCAGAGTGTGGTCTGTACCATCCATTTATCTCTCTTGTATACACATCAGAACTCAAGATGGGGCCCTGACCTACACCCAGAGGTCCTACCCTGGGGCACAATTAAAGGATTAAGTTGTCAATCAAGTCCCAACACATGGATTTTAGTGGACTAAATTTCAAAACATAAACCTTAGGAGGGAAGACAAACCATAATGCCTTTTAACAAATTTTTCTCACTCACCTCACTTTTGGACCACAAAGACAAAAGCGTACACATTTTTTTGTCCCCCATATGAGCTTAGAAGTACCTAGAAGAGTCTATGTATATGCAAATAGACACTTAATACATTTCATGACCAAGAATTAATATATCAGTATTAAATCAAATTAGGCTGAATTTGGGCCTAAACATTAAACTTTTTGAAGTTAATCTTGGGAAAAGTATCAGAAGGTGTAGATTTAAGTACAAGAATATAAATCAAAATTAGAAAAATTCCTATTTTTAAAAATAAAGGAGTGTTAAATCAGTCAATATAGTATACATAATTTTGAACTATTTTATAAATTGTCCAGTAACAATGGAGAAGGGACTGCAGCTCAGCCATTCCCTTTGGACAGTAATTTCTTACGTTTTTCTCTCTCTCTCTCTCTCTCCAGAGAGTTCATGTACCCTATAGCAAAACTGGGGGGGGGAGGAGAGGGAGGGTTATTATAGTTAATTCTGAGTAGTGTAATCATTAGTGTTCTTTCTTTCTTTCTTTCTTTCTTTTTTACGGTCACACCCATAGGGCATGTTTGCTCACCAGAGACAGAGAAGGACAATGAGAGGGAAAGTGAGAAATCACACCCACGTGGGATCCCCATGCCACAGTCCCTTTTCTTCCATTCTGCTCCTGGGATTCTGGGCATAAACACATACGTGCTGGTGTGATTTTCAAGCCATTGGGTCAGGAACTTGAACCACATTGGCCACACAGGAATACAGAGCCTTAATCACCCCATCACCTGCTGGCACATACTGACTTTTAATTTTATACTTTTCTCTATTTTCTAAATATTCTACAATGAACATATATCTTTTACAATTATAAAAAAAATTCTAAAATTTGATTAAGGTGACAGGAGGCTAAATTTGAATACTTTCTGTTCTATCTAGCAAAGACTTATTTTAAATGTAAGGCTCCATGTTAATAAAGGCATAAAATATTATAATAATTAGGAAAAGGTATTTATAAGATACTTCCCTGAATAGAAATGCATATTTGAATATAGCATAGGATGTTTAGAAAACAATTTAGATAATTTAAAATCTGCCACTTCTCAAAGTTTCTATCTTAAAACTTCCTACATTTGCAATGTAAATTTAAGATATAACTATTTAGAAGATATATTATTAATGCAGAATGTGCTACTGAATAACCCCATAATCAATTAATTAATAATTAATAGGGAGGTTAATATGTTCCCAGTATTATTCTGAATTTTCAATCTTGTATGTATGTATTTGATGCCATATAAAATACAGTTCTATCTTAATAAGCATTATCTCATTACCTTTCTGGAGTCACTTTTCTAACAACCATAGTTTGATAGGTGATGGCTTTCTTGTCTTTAAGGCCTGCATAACTAAAATCTGAAGGAATCACACCAAGTTTGATAGCTAAAAAACCAACTGCTTCGAACATTTCCAGATTTTCCTTTCGTAGAGTAAAAGCTGAAACAAAAATAATCCTAGATTACAAAAGAAACAGCTACCACACATCAATTACATTCTTAGCAGATTAACAGATTATTATAATAACTCAACTCATTACTTTGATGAATTGAGTATTCTTAAAGTAATATGAAATCAACATTACAGATTGCAACTGTCATTTTTAAAATGTGGTTGGCCCATTAAAGGCTTATAATAAAAAGATACAAATTCCTTATTTTGGCATTCTTATCTGGCCCAAATCTGCCCTTCTAGTCTCGACATAACACCACTTCCACTTGTATATTCTATAATGCTGACCTAAATGATTTCTCCAAATCACTGATGGGCTAGAGACTTCTACGGTTTTGTACTTCTGCAAACCTTCCATCTAAAATACATGTTTTATTTGCCATGTCTATATTTTAATTTCCCCTCAAATTATTTTCAAGTTCCAACACTAAACACTCCCAAAGCAAGGATCATGTTTGTTTTATTAACCATTATATCCTCAATTTAGAATATCTGAACACGTATTCACATTGAATGAATAAATGAACTCAATGAGTTGATTATTTAATCCTTCATATTTCTTCAAGTTAACACTATCTATGAAACTTAACACTGTATATTATAATTTACCTACTTAAATTAGTCCACTCCATTAGCTGAGAGTTCCAGGACAGCAATCCAATATTTAAATATTCTGCAATATTTAAATGCAATGGTGGGGACAGCAGTGGTGTGGTGATCAAGGTGCTGAACTCACACAGTTTGGATTCTGGACCTGGTGGTTTACTTTCTCCATTTCTCTCTGTTAATCTCTGGTGAGTACATATGCCTTATAGCAAATTTTAAAATAATAATAAAAATTAAATAAGTAATTTTAAAAAAATGCAATGCGTCTTTTATTGTAGAGTGTTCAACGTATCAAATCCATCCTGACAATCGTGGACATGTCATTAGAGAAAATTAGACATAAACACCAAATCTGCTTAAGATATCAGTGTGTTGCTCATTAGCCTAAGGGCACAAGCATCTTTTTTATCTATGAAGATATCAGTTTAGTTTATTTAAATAAGTTTATATTTAATTTTATAAATTAATTAGTTCTCTTATCAAAACCATATTATGCTACTATATATCTACACAGATGTTTATGTAATCAAATGTTTAGGAAAATAAGACTTATGGTTCCAATTTAAAATATTTATTGATTTAGATTTATCTTTTTAACATTGAATGTTATCTAAGTAAGCAAATTGGAACCATTTTTTAAAATTTAAAGGTCATAATGCCTGTGACATTCTCCACAGAAATACAAAAAACAATTATAAAATTTGTCCAGAATCATAAGACCCAGTATCACCAAGGCAATACTGTGTCAAAAGAATAACATAGGAGGCATTTCACTACCTGACTTCAAAATATATTACAAAGCTGTGATACTTAAAACAGCATGGATGCTGGCACAAAAAATAGATGCACAGACCGATGTTAAAGAATAGAAAATTCAGAAATAAATCACGAATCATACAGCCAACTGATCTTTGACAAAGGATACAAGACAATGCAGTGGAAAAAAAGGAAGTCTCTTCAGCAAATGGTGCTGAAAGAATTGGAAAGCCACCTGCAGAAATGTAAAACTGGACCTCTATCTCTCCCCATTAACAAGAATCAACTCAAAATGGATCAAAGGCCTCAAACTACAAAACTACTAGCAAAAAATGCATGGAAAACTTTTGAAGACATTGGAGTAGGCAAAGTTTTCTTAATATGACTCCTAAATCTTAGACAATAATCCCAAAATAGACAAGTTAGATTTCATCAAAACAAAAAGCTTCATCTCAGCAAAAGAAACAATAAGTTGAGTGAAAAGACAATCCTAGGAATGGAAGAAAATATTTGCAAATTATTCCTCAGACAAGGGATTGAGAAACACTTCATTCATTAAAAAAAAAAAAAAAAAAAAAAAATCCCATTTTAAAATGGACAAATGAATTGAACAGACATTCAACCGAAAAAGGATTATGAATGGCCAAAAGGCATATGAAAAAATATTCAAAATCTCTTGACATAAGGGAAATTAAAACCATAATAAGATATCACTTAACCCCAGTAAGAATGGCTAGGATCAAATGCAGAACAAGTGCTGGCTGGCAAGATTGTGGTGAAAAGGGGCCCCTATTGCAGTGTTCGTGGGAGAGTAAATTAGTTCAATCCCTATGGAAAATATGGAGGTTCCTCAAAAAACCAAAAATAGAACTACCATCTGATCCAGTTATCCCACTTTTCAATATTCACCCAAAGGATAAAAAAACACTCAATCGGAAGGACACTTGCACATTCATGTTTATTGCAGTATTATTCATGATCGCTAAAACATGGAATCAACCTAAGAGTCCAAAAACTGATGACTGGATTGTAAAATTATAACACCTATACACTATGGACTATTACTCAGCTATAAGAAACATTAAGATCTTATCATCTGACTCAAAGTGGATGAATACAGAAGACTTAATATTGAGCAAAATGAGCCAGACTTTGTAAGATACACATTACATATCCCCATTCAATTTGGGCCAAGTGTTTGCACTCTATATGCAGAAGTTGGGAGATCTGAAGATGTGATGCTGGAGAGGAAAGTGTGGATGCTAGAGACTGTAAGGGGGTAGAGTTGATGGTGTGGGTGGGTATGAAGTGCGAGAAAAGAAAATATATGACAGACAGAAAAATGTAAATTCTCTGTTGAAAAAATAATATATATACTGAATAAATCATAATGGATACTTTAAGTAAAACAAAATTAATCTGAATAACTTGAATAATAATTTGAATAATTTGAATACATTTAATAATCTGTCATTAAATTTCTAAGATTACTTATAAGACTTATAACATTTTCTTAATTACTTGAATTGAAGTATCAAAAAAAAAAAAAATCAAACCCAGCTATACTGGCAGCCAGAACCATGCCACTCTGCAGTGCTGGAGACACATGATGGGTAACCAAGGTTCAGATCCTGTGTCAGTCTGAAACATGTTAGGCATGCATGGTACAAGAGTTAGGGACTATGATTCTGGCCAGATTGAAGAGTGAGGGGAGAGATGGTGTAGCATGACAACATCCCATTAAGGCTGCCTTTCTCTCTCTCTCTCTCATGTATGCACAAACATAAATACTGTCTCTCTCTTGTGAAAGAAATAAACAAATCTTGAAAAATAAAAAAGAAAACCACCTATACTAAATTCTAAAATTCTATTTTAGAGATGTCTACTTCTATTCATGTTGGAATTGATACCAGATGACCTCCCATCATAAACAGAAAACTGTACAAAACATATAAAGCAGTTGTTTTTAGATACTAAAAAACAAGTACCACAAAACTGTTATCCAAAAGAATAAGAAAACAAATGACGTGAGTCTCAAAATGCCCTGGGTTTCTGCCAGAAGTACTATCTGTACCATAGTACAGAAGAGAAAACACAAAAAAGCACAGTAGGCTTGCTGAGGCTGAGTGGGCTGTCTCAACTTGCCAATGATCTTCTCTTTGCCTCGAAGTCATTTAATTTAAACATCAGGTGCCATCCGAAAGGCTGAGAATTTTAAAGAAATACATGTTTTTTAACACAGTAAGTCCTAGTTCCCTCATATCTAACAGAAATAGATTTTTTTTTTCTTTTTTTTTTTGGAGAGGTTTTTGTTATAGGGCGCATCATGCACTCATCAGAAAGAGAGAGACAGAGACAGAAAGCAAGAAATCACCACCCAGGGGGATGGCCATGCCGCAATCCCTTCTCCTCCATTCTCCTCTCAGCATCTTGGGCACACACATACCTGTGCCCAGCATGAATTTAAGCCACCAGGTCCAGGACTTGAACTACAGTCAACTATAAAGGAGTCCAGCAACAAAGCCATTATGCCAACTGCTAGTCCCACAGAATTTTATTATCAGCAGTAAAAAGCCAGGTGGCACCCCAACACTCTGCATGCAAATATTTCCAGTTAAAGCATCTCTTCATTAGACAACAAATTCAATTGTGTTGGATTATAAGGTATTCTCTTCACCTTCCCAAACACAGCAAGTATATTCTTACTAAAAAATACTTTTAATTAAAATGACTTTTAAAATATAAAATCAAGATTTACCATAGATAGAAATTAAGCAAAAAGTAACTATTTCATCTTTCTACATTAATGATTATGTTAACTGTCAATGCCTGTGGTAACCACATTTTCAATACTCAGTATAATTTGGAAGACATTATCATCCACAAAATAACTAACTAAATAAGAATTGCTAGCACTGTTTTTTTGTTTTGTTTTGTTTTGTTTTGCTAGCACTGTTTAATCATTTATCAGCAATTCC